TCTTTTGTTTTTTAGCTGAGATTAGCTTCACGCGAATTGAAGTTGCGTGATACTTTTAAGCTTAAAGGTGGGACTCGATACTTGTCATGCCTGGAGAAGATAAGTGCAGTTGGTAATGCAAGCGCCTGAGTGCTTCAGGCACGCGAGTTCAATCCCATTGAACGGTTTCAATATCTTGGCCAGACCATACATTAGAAGGTGAAGGGATGACGACGTTTCGGTCCGTCCTGGACCATTCTCAAGTCGATTGTCTTGTTTCAATATCTTCTCACAGACGTGAATAGTTTTGCCTTTATAACAAACTGTCTTGAATGTAGAGGAATTAACTTGTGGTGGAAACAAAACAGCACAACGGCAGTTGAACACCAATACTTGACTTAAATTTTAAAATTTAAATTTTGCCCCGAGGGGCGAGTTTATCGGGCAGCGCCACTGATCCTGTGAGTGGACACACCGCCATAGCAGCATGTACAACACTCCCCAATAGGAAGAAAACCCGCTGGGTTGTTCATCCTGTCACTTGTACCCAGACTTAAGTGTCTCCCACGGTCCAGAAGACCTGCTGGAAAGTGTCCAAAGCCTCCACCATCAAACCCTCCGCTCAGTCTTAAATGACCTATTTAAGAGGCCTCGCCGACTCCTCATAACAACTACAACAATTAGGCTACGGGTGAGTGGAGAGTGGTGGTGGTGCGTTACCAAAGAGCTGGTGGGGTGACCCCCCCCCACAACCAGGTCAGGTCACCACCACGACCTCCTGACCTCTGTAACCTCTTGACCTCTGCCGCCACACCCTCACTTGTTTGGAAACACAGCCGTTGATTTGGGGAAACAGATTACCGGGTAACGTAAGGCAAGTGTGATGGCTGGATTGTTTCAAGCGTAGGTTAGACGTATATATGAGGTGGATGGATACAAATAGAGGCTGCTTCGTGAGGGCCAACAGGAGATGGGTCGTGTGGGCCAACAGGAGATGGATCGTGAGGGCCAACAGGAGCTGCCTCGTGTGGACCAACAGGAGCTGCCTCGTGTGGACCAACAGGAGCTGCCTCGTGTGGACCAACAGGAGCTGCTCGTGTGAGCCAACAGGAGCTGCCTCGTGTGAGCCAATAGGAGCTGCCTCGTGTGGACCACAGGAGCTGCCTCGTGTGGACCACAGGAGCTGCCTCGTGTGGACCACAGGAGCTGCCTCGTGTGGACCACAGGAGCTGCCTCGTGTGGACCACAGGAGCTGCCTCGTGTGGACCACAGGAGCTGCCTCGTGTGGACCACAGGAGCTGCCTCGTGTGGACCACAGGAGCTGCCTCGTGTGGACCACAGAGCTGCCTCGTGTGGACCACAGGAGCTGCCTCGTGTGGACCACAGGAGCTGCCTCGTGTGGACCACAGGAGCTGCCTCGTGTGGACCACAGGAGCTGCCTCGTGTGGACCACAGGAGCTGCCTCGTGTGGACCACAGGAGCTGCCTCGTGTGGACCAACAGGAGCTGCCTCGTGTGGACCACAGGAGCTGCCTCGTGTGGACCACAGGAGCTGCCTCGTGTGGACCACAGGAGCTGCCTCGTGTAGACCAACAGGAGCTGCCTCATGTGGACCAACAGGAGCTGCCTCGTGTGGACCACAGGAGCTGCCTCATGTGGACCACAGGAGCTGCCTCATGTGGACCAACAGGAGCTGCCTCGTGTGGACCAACAGGAGCTGCCACGTGTGGACCACAGGAGCTGCCACGTGTGGACCACAGGAGCTGCCTCGTACGGACCAACAGGCCCTAGGTGGACAGGAGCATCAGGCGAAAGAAACTGTGTCCACATTGTTTCAGCCTCGGCCGGGCTATTGAAGTATCAATAGCCAAAATATCCTGCTGGATATAATCAGGTATACTGTATAGTATGTATACACACTGTATACACACTGTATACTGTATAGCGCGAAAATAATCCAAAAATATCGCGACCGCGTTAAATGGCGCCAAAATTGGAATGGAAACGACCCCGAGAGCGCCAAAGCGCCATTGACAGTCGGGAGAAAAATGAGTTAAAAGTTTTCCCGAAACGGTCCATAAAGTTGAGTTCATTACGCTGAGCGAGGCATGAATGGGGGGGAGGGGGAGGGGTTTGTTTACATGGGGCTCGTACTGCTGCTGCTGCTGTTCCTTGTTACTGCTGTTCCTGCTGCTGCTGCTATTGTGTAATGCTGCAAGTATGCAATCAGAAGGGAATGGGTAAGGTGGGGGAGGGGGGGGGAATATTGTGAGAAAGACTGGAAGGAAGGGGATAGAGGTGGGGGGGATAGAGGTGGGAGGGATAGAGGTGGAAGGGGGGGGAATAGAGGTGGGAGGGGGGGGAATAGAGGTGGGAAGGGGGGGAATAGAGCTGGGAGGGGGGGATAGAGATGGAGGGGGGATAGAGGTGGGAGGGGGGGGAGAATGAGGTGGTGGTGGGGGGGTGACTATGTATTTAGACTACACAAAGTGTCCACACCCAGGCGGCGTCTTACAGAGGTAAGAGCACGGTGGAGAGGGAATAACTCGTATCATTCTGTATGTATACAATATCTGGCTGTGTATATCTGGACAATGTTGAGGCCAGATGACTGGGGGTTAGTATCATTAACCTTTGCAGGGTGACGGGTGTGGGGGTGGGGGGTGTCAGGGGAGACTGTCTAAGGTGGGTCTGGGAAGACCTCCCCCATCTCCTTTAAGAAGGGGTTGTGATGAAGCAGGCGGAGATGAATGGTAACACAAGGAGTCCAGAGAGTTGTGCAGTCTGTTCGACAGATTAATATGCAAAACTGTGTTTTCTGATGTCAGGGTTCGATCCCAGGCGCCGGCGAGAAACAATGGGCAGAGTTTCTTTCACCCTATGCCCCTGTTACCTAGCAGTAAAATAGGTACCTGGGTGTTAGTCAGCTGTCACGGGCTGCTTCCTGGGGGTGGAGGCCTGGTCGAGGACCGGGCCGCGGGGACACTAAAAAAAAAAAAAGCCCCGAAATCATCTCATCTCAAGATTTGCTCTCTGGGGAGAGGCGGGGGGGGGGACATATTGGGGTAGACTAGGGAGCCGCCGAGTACTTCCATCTTATATAACAACAAATAATTAGTTAAGCACATGGACGTACAACTTTGTGAAGTTATCATACTGTTAGCCAGCGGTTCAAGACTACAGGTGGATCTTCTTGAGGTTATCTTGAGATGATTTCGGGGCTTTAGTGTCCCCGCGGCCCGCTCCTCGACAAGGCCTCCACCCCCAGGAAGCAACCCGTGACAGCTGACTAACACCCAGGTACCTATTTTACTGCTAGGTAACAGGGGCATAGGGTGAGAGAAACTCTGCCCAATGTTTCTCGCCGGCGCCTGGGATCGAACCCACAGGATCACAAGTCCAGCGTGCTGTCCGCTCGGCCGACCGGATGCACACAAGGTGAGAATAAATACAGTAATACAACATATACAGTAGGTGTAAGAGTTGCAACATGCAACTACAATACCCTCCTAGTAGCCAGTAACCCACCCACCACCAGGTGAGTCCCCTACCATCACATACCAAACAAATGTTTGGTATGTGATGGTTGGGTACCAAACAAACAAACAATATTTATCACATATACATTTGCAAATCATTGCAAGGCGAGGTACCTGCCAGACTGATGCAGTGTGAAATGTTCACACTTCAGCGTTGATGATTTCACATGAAAATTTTTGATAAAAAAAAAAGAGCTCCAGGAATTTAGGCTGGAGGTAAGAGCATAGGTCTACTAGCCATGGGCTAGTAAGGTCTACTAGCCATGGGCTAGTAAGGTCTACTAGCCATGGGCTAGTAAGGTCTACTAGCCATGGGCTAGTAAGGTCTACTAGCCATGGGCTCTCCAATGACCATTTAGTTAATCTGACAGGTGTGATGAGTTAAGGTTTGTGTTAAAATTGATTTGGTATGTTAATGTGTAAAATATTAGATCTCCACTAAAACGTTTGGTTGAAGGTAAGTAAGAGGAGGGAGGGAGGGGGAGACCTTGTGCAGGTGTTTGATGAGGAAGGGGAGGAGAGAGGGGCAGGGAGGGGGGTGGGGAGAGGAAAGGGGAGGGGATAGGAAGGGGGAAGGCAGTGGGCCACCTGGATAGAAGATGATGGACGCGTGGGCTCTGGGGACAAGTTCAGGTGGGTGACCAGGCAAGGAACAACCTCCCCCCTCCACCTCCACAACCTCCCCCTCCACACTGCCCTTACCCAATACACTTCATCTACACCCCCCCCCCACACCCCCTACCAGCAGGCTCATTACCACAGGCTACACATCAGGGGCTGTGTACCCAACACCCACCGCGACACACACATCAGGGGCTGTGTACCCAACACCCACCGCGACACACACATCAGGGGCTGTGTACCCAACACCCCACCGCGACACACACATCAGGGGCTGTGTACCCAACACCCACCGCGACACACACATCCATATGGACATATTCTCGCTACGTCTGCGGTATATCTACACACTACACCCCCTTCCCCACCTCTCAGGGCCTCACGGCACCCCCACACACCATGCTTTATCTTATCAATTGCAGCTTCAACGGCCCCCGTGATAAGAGGTGACGGCCGCTCCCTACACTACCTACACCTGTGTCACCTGTGTCTCGTTCACACACACACACGTGGCCGCACTATACCTGTAGCACCATAGCTACAACCACTGAAAGTTTGACGCTTGCCTATCCATCACCCACCTTCTGTATGGACACCGTATCATGGCGCCCACCTGCCCACCACCCCACTAGCCCCACCCACCTGTAACCCCCCCACCCCCACTAGCCCCACCTACCTGTAACCACCACCCACCCACTAGCCCCACCCACCTGTAACCACCCCCCCCCCACTAGCCCCACCTACCTGTAACCACCACCCACCCACCTAGCCACAAATTATCGCTGGGTGACAAATGGCAAAACAAATTTTCAAGCAGACATGTATAAACTATCCACAACAGAACCCCCAAACAACAACAAACAATTCCTATGCTGCAGGAGTGGTAGTCTTCACGGAGCGTCGTACGAGGACGACGCAAAGTGGCCGTAGCGGCAGGTAGACCTGTTGGATAAGAGGCAGAGAAGGGCGGGCTACTCACCATTGCTGAAGTGCCGTTGGTGTAGGCGTAGGCGAAGGGCGACAAGTAGCCCAGGCGGTCCGCTCCCCAGGCCGAAGCTCCTGCAACACGTCCAGGCATGAACTAATAACATGTGGTATACAAGTTCTATACTACTGACACACATGTGATCAACGGTATTGTGTGTTTACATATATATGAATGGGGAGGGAGGGAGGGAGAGAGACAGTCACAGAGAGAGAGAGAGACAGTCACAGAGAGAGAGAGAGACAGTCACAGAGAGAGAGAGAGACAGTCACAGAGAGAGAGAGAGACAGTCACAGAGAGAGAGAGACAGAAAGAGAGAGAGAGAGAGAGAGAGAGAGAGAGAGAGAGAGAGAGAGAGAGAGAGAGAGAGAGAGAGAGAGAGAGTGAGAGAGAGAGAGAGAGAGAGAGAGGAGAGAGAGAGAGAGAGAGAGAGAGAGAGAGAGAGAGAGAGAGAGAGAGAGAGAGAGAGAGAGAGAGAGAGAGAGAGAGAGAGAGAAGAGAGAGAGAGAGAGCAGAGAGAGAGAGAGAGAGAGAGAGAGAGGAGAGAGAGAGAGAGAGAGAGGAGACAGAGAGAGGAGACAGAGACAGAGAGGAGAGAGAGACAGAGAGACAGAGGAAAAGAGAGAGAGAGAGAGAGAGAGAGAGAGAGAGAGACAGAGAGACAGAGGAAAAGAGAGAGAGAGAGAGAGAGAGAGAGGAGAGAGACAGAGAGAAGAGAGAGAGAGGATAAAGACAGAGAGAGAGGAGAGAGACAGACAGAGAGGAGAGAGACAGACAGAGAGGAGAGAGACAGACAGAGAGGAGAGAGACAGACAGAGAGGAGAGAGACAGACAGAGAGGAGAGAGACAGACACACATAGAAAGGGGGTGAAGGAGGTACACATTAAGCAGGACAGAGGAACCTGCTGCCAGACAACAGGGGAAACAAGAATGCCTTGTTTCGTGTAACTAGTGTTGGAGAACAGTTAGCCAGTCACTGTTGGGTGTGTGTGTGTGGCCAGGGCGAGGAGCGGTCGCCACCCCTGGAGGTCACCTGTGGTGGTCGGTCTCCATTGTTTAAACTCTCCTCGCAGCTTCCTTCACTACTGCCTGTACAATTAAACTGTCTGTGTTATCATGCTGCATGCACACATACCCATTACTCTACAGCAGTCCAGAGCCCCCTTATTAGTCTTCCATTTTCAGTGCAAAATAAAGTTTATTGTATCTTGTCCATTTTGTCTTTAATTCTCCTCTACCTTCCTTTACGTTGTGTTAGTTCAGAGGATCAACGTCCCTACGTCTCTGACAGTCTCCTGGTTGGTGGTGTGGTCAACCAGGCTGTTGGCCGCGGCTGCTCGCAGCCTGATGTATGAATAACAGTCTGGTTGATAAAGGTAATTGTGAAGATGCTCTCTCAAAGGTCACCTCTTGAGGAATGTGTTTCAAAGGTCACCTCTTGAGGAATGCGTCTCAAAGGTCACCTCTAGAGGAATGTGTCTCAAAGCTCACCTCTTGAGGAATGTGTCTCAAAGGTCACCTCTTGAGGAATGTGTCTCAAAGGTCACCTCTTGAGGAATGCGTCTCAAAGGTCTCCTCTAGAGGAATGTGTCTCAAGGTCTCCTCTAGAGGAATGTGTCTCAAAGCTCACCTCTTGAGAATGTGTCTCAAAGGTCACCTCTTGAGGAATGTGTCTCAAAGGTCTCCTCTAGAGGAATGTGTCTCAAAGCTCACCTCTTGAGGAATGTGTCTCAAAGGTCACCTCTTGAGGAATGTGTCTCAAAGGTCTCCTCTAGAGGAATGTGTCTCAAAGCTCACCTCTTGAGGAATGTGTTTCAAAGGTCACCTCTTGAGGAATGTGTCTCAAAGGTCTCCTCTAGAGGAATGTGTCTCAAAGCTCACCTCTTGAGGAATGTGTTTCAAAGCTCACCTCTTGAGGAATGCGTCTCAAAGGTCACCTCTTGAGGAATGTGTCTCAAAGGTCACCTCTTGAGGAATGTGTCTCAAAGGTCACCTCTTGAGGAATGTGTCTCAAAGGTCACCTCTTGAGGAATGTGTCTCAAAGGTCACCTCTTGAGGAATGTGTCTCAAAGGTCACCTCTTGAGGAATGTGTCTCAAAGGTCACCCTCTTGAGGAATGTGTTTCAAAGGTCACCTCTTGAGGAATGTGTCTCAAAGGTCAGGCACAAGGACGACATCAGAGGAGGACATCTGGAAAACACTGCCACACAAGACAGACAGACAAGAACATCTCAGAGTGATCACAGCATCATAAGGACCTGGTGTGTGTGAGAGAGAGAGAGAGAGAGAGAGAGAGAGAGAGAGAGAGAGAGAGAGAGAGAGAGAGAGAGAGAGAGAGAGAGAGAGAGAGAGAGAGAGAGAGAGAGAGAGAGAGAGAGAGAGAGAGAGAGAGAGCAGAGAGAGAGCAGAGAGAGAGCAGAGAGAGAGCAGAGAGAGAGAGAGCAGACAGACAGACAAGGGAGGAGGGGGTGGATATATCACCAGTAGGGACGTATAGCTATCAAGAACCTGGTCTCCGTCCACCACCGCCCACAACACCCCAGTGCCCGGGGGGGGGGGGGGGGGGGCTGACATCACCACACAGACACACACACAGACATACAGACACCGCAACAAGGTCCA